TAAGTTCTTCAGATAATTTTGAGGTTGACCAAGAATGCAGGACTAGCAACTTTGAGAATGAGTGGGAGCTTTCCAGTCTAAACTTGTTCAGAGGTTTGGTATTCCAGAAGTTGACTTATTTACTACTCGGCTCAATAATAAATGCTCAAGATTCATTTCCTGGCTGCCCGACCCAGAGGCTGCAAATGTAGATGCCTTCACTATTTATTGGTCAGATTCTGTCTTTTATGCTTTTCCCCCGTTTTGTTTGCTCCCTAAAGTACTGAGGAAAATCAATAATGATTCCGCTACAGGGATTGTGGTAATTCTATTCTGGCAAGGCCAACCTTGGTTTGATAAAATGTTGATATCTGAATTGATAATTTTTGAACCTGATAAAAAACTGCTTATATCTGTTGACAGCCAACCCCATCCATTATGGGCTATGGCAGAAGCTTACCCTGACAGCAGGGGTTTTGTCAGGAAAGCATTTCAGCTGAGGAATATTCCCGAGGGCTCTATGGATATCCTTTATTCATCTGTCCGTAGTTTAACAATGAAATAATATAATACTGCATATAGATGTTGGTGGAAATTTTGTCAACTAAAAAATGTTGATGTATATTCTGCATCTGTATCTTTAGTGTTAGAATTTTTTACCGTTCATTTTAATGATGGCAAGTCTTATGGTTCTCTCAATAACTTTCGGGCTGCTTTAAGTCTGGTTTTTGGCTCAAACGTAGTTAACGATATTAGTATAAATAGATTTTTTAAGGGGGTTTACAATCTTCGTCCTAGTAAACCAAAATATGAGTGTACTTGGGACCCGACCTGTGTTCTTGATTACCTGAAAGGCTTTTACCCAAATGAGTCTTTATCCTTAAAGGATCTGACTCTCAAGTTAGTAACATTGCTTGCTCTGGTCACTGCTCATAGAGTGCACACCTTTTCTTTGATCAAAATAGAGAATATAAAGTTTTTTGCCAATAGATTGGAAATCAAAATTTCAGACCAAATCAAGACGTCAGCGCTGAATAAAATTCAACCTACTTCAATTTTGCCAAAGTTTGAAACTGTACCAGAATTATGTGTTTCAACAGACCTAGAATATTATTTGGGAAAACAAAGATTTTCAGAAAACATGAGTGTCGACTTCTCATTACGTTTAATAAACTTTATAGAGCGGCGTCTCCCCCAACTATTTGCCGTTGGATTAGGTTAGTCTTAGGTTCTAGTGGTATAGACACGTCAGTATATACTGTACATAGCACGCGACATGCCAGTACGTCTCTGGCATTGAGTAAAAGGAGTTTCAATTGATGTGATCCGTAAGACGTAACCTTTATCTTCTGTCAGAGACAAGTTTATTTTCGCTAATGCAGTCTGTTCTATATAGTTATCTGGTTCTTCGGATTTTCTGTTCTGTACCTACCTAGTTATAACCGAATAAATTTACAACAAAAAATAAAAATTTGCTTTACTTTAAACATCTACGTATTGATTTCGTAGAAGAGGCGTGACATAAAATTAATAAATCAAACGAACTTACCTTGTAGTGATATCGTTCGATTTATATTTTATAAACGCCTCTTCATAGAAATCACCCACCCTCCCATTTCATTCTCCCTGTATAGGCAATTTTTTTGTTGTTGTTCATTAGGGTGAGTGATGATCAGTGCCGGCCCAAGCCTACTTTCAGGACGGAGCGAGATCCGAATTTGGCGACCCTTGCCCCTTAATTCAAATGTGAATTGTACTCGCATGGATTTTGCCCATATCTGAAATTTATAATTATACCTATATGTCTCTATGTTTCTGACTCTATTTATCTAATCAACTGAAATTTGAAAACATCCATGTTTGTTGGTACTGTTGGTACCTAGTCTTTTCCTTTTGAGAATGGATTTAAAGTAGAATGACAAACAAATAACTAATGAAAGTTGTGAAAAAATGTGTTTATTTATTTATTATAATGCACATTCTTTGATGAGATCAATCAATAATTAACTTTGATCATAATTATTAACACTTATTATAAATGTAAAAAAATAAATAATTTTATTAAATCGCTGTTCGCTGTTTGCGCACTTTTGTATTTGCAAATTTGTATGATCTCCTCACCATGACAATGTCTGGAGCTATAGGTATCATTTTCAATGAACAGCAGCGCTAGATCAGATTCAGAAAGGTTGTCTTCTGCTAGAGTTGACCCCCTAGGTAAGTTCTAATTAACCTAAGCTTGCTAAAAGGTGAACCTTTCACCGCCGAAACAGGAATGGTTAACAGAAAGGAGAGCTGTCCAGATATTAGGGAACGTATCTTACTAGGTCTGAATATAAGGAGTAAGGAGTGCTTTTGAGTGAACTTTATCAATACTAACTTAAGAACTTCTGCAAACACATTTTTTCTTTTAGGGCCCGTTTATATTCACCTCTTGATAAACTGTCAGGAATTTGACGTATAAAAACGCAATTTGCAATCCCATCAATCGGCCAGTTATCCGGCTCTGTGAAGTAGGCAGGCACACTTGAAGCACAAAAGTTAAATTTTACGTAATCGCTTAGTGCTTCGTTGTTGCTTCAATCCTGAAATTAGCAACCCTTGTATTTTTGGAGATATTTTGGTTTTTTGAAATCGTCTGCTTACTTCACACTCAGCAAGAACAAGGGAAGCACCAACGTTCAGTTACAGATATATGGTTATAGAGCTTCGTTGGTGCTTCAATGTGCTTCAATCCCCAAGTTAGCAACCCTTGAATTTTCAGAGATATTCTGGAACTTTGTTTTTTTCACTATCCTGACATCTTCCGCCACTTCCAATACGATTGCGAAAAGTCGAAATATCTCGCGAAGCATACGAGTTGCTAAAAGTGTGAGGTGGTGCATCATGAAGCACTAACAAAGCACTAAACATTCATCTATTACAGAACGTTGGTGCTTCCCTTGTTCCTGCTGGGTGTGAAATAAGCAGGCGATTCCTAAATACCGAAATATCTCTGCAAATATAAGGGTTGCTAATTTGCGGATCGAAGCACATTGAAGCACTAACGAAGCACTAAACATCTATCTACAACTGAACGTTGGTGCTTGGTGAACTAAGCAGGTGATTTCTAGAAGACGGAATATATCTGATTATTCCACTCATGTGTTAGAAATCCCATAAGACAAGTGACGATTTTCAGAATTACAGCGAAAATTCTCTTTTCCATTTGTTTAACTAGAGAGAATTACAGCGATAATTCTCCCATGTTATTGTATAGATGGTTGTCATGCTAATTTTTGATACAAACAAACGGTTCCTGATAGCAACCATTTATTTGTATTGATTGTTAAGATGTTCAAATCGTTTAATACATATTTATTTTCATATTTTTTGCATTCTCATACGTGAAATAATCCTCTAAATTTCTCTGCAAATTATAGAAAACACGCAATAGTGAAAAATTATCGGTAATTTTGAAGCTCTCGTGGTATTATCCCCGAAAATTCAAGGGTTGTTAATATAGGGATTGAAGCAATTGGAGCACTAACGAAGCAACTATTTATCTGTAACTGAACATTGGTGCTTTCCTTGTTCCTACTGGGTAATTTCTAAAATCCGAAATATCTCTGAAAATTTAAGGGTTTGCTATTAATTTGGGAATTGGAGCACTAACTATTTATCTGTAATTGCACGTTGGTGCTTCCCTTGTTCCTGCTGGTGTGAAGTAAGCAGGCGATTCCAAAAAACCAAAATATCGCCGAAAATTCAAGGGTTTGTTAATTCAGAGATTGAAGCACATTAAAGCACTAACAAAGCGCTAAACGATTACGTAATATTTAACTATTGTGCTTCAAAGTGTGCCTGCCTACTTCACAGAGCCCAGTTTTCCGTCGATCAAAAGATTATAGATTCGTGAATTTATCTTGCAGACCCCGATTTCAGGACCGGAACCCTTCTGCGGCATAGGGAAACACACCTATGAAGAAGCCTTCAGAAAGGAAGAGCGGACCAAATGGAACAGCCTCTGGGAGCAACTTCCAGGGTTGAGGCAATCGAAGATGTTTCTTGGGCACCCTGACCAAGGGAGACCGAAAGGCCTCACATCATTAAGCAAAAGCAATCTCCGCATTCTCACCGGATTCCTCACAGGCCACTGTCGGTTAAGGGGGCACCTTGAGAGAATTAAAATTGAAAACGAGAACAGCTGCCGGTTCTGTGAGGAAGGGGAGGAAACCCCTGAACACCTTCTAACGGAATGCGAGGTGATCGTGAATACACGAATGGCCTCCTTCGAATGCTACATCGTGGGACGGGAAGAAATTCCATCCAAAGTACTTGCTTTCATAAAAGCATTAAGGCTGGATGAGGGACTTTAAGCGAGAGTCCATCAACTGGAGCGCCAAGAAGGGGGACACAATAGATCTATGCAGGTCGCAGTGTAACAAAACCCCAACTAATTCATTCATTCATCTCAGGAACTATAAGTCCAAATGGGTTAAAGTCCTCTACTGGAGTAAGAATCGCTGAAAATTTCAGCTTTCTATCTATAATAGAAAAAAAGTTATGATCTTCCAAAGTTTTCCAAAATCTAAATCTACCTTCTTACTAAAACGATGAAATTTCAATTTTTTTTTTGTTGAGATTTTGTGTCCTTATGACCACTTGGGATTCCCCGAACTCCATACACCAAGTTATTCCCAGGTTTGAAGCCGGAATCTATGAAAAAAGGCACTCAGAAAAATTTATAAATCACCCCAAATTGCTTAACACCTCAATCTTACGATCGTACATATTTAGTTGAATTTCAACAAAACGAGAGTTCAAAATAAGATTCTCACACCTCTTTATAACATCTTAAGGGCTGATTTCGCAATAGCAAATCACCCCCGGCTTAACCATAACTCCAGACCGTTGAGTCAAAACTTACCGGGGTGAGTTGATATTGAGAAACTGGCCCTAAGGGTAAGAAATCAGACTTTAGTTTAATTTCTGCTCATCTTTGGATTGCCATTATGGAATTGAAAGTATACTTTTTCCAGGTTGAGTGACTACATAGATTTTGACTGTAGCTCAGCGATAATTGGCTTGGAATGCTTCCACTCAATACTGCTTTTAATGAACGGGCAATTCAAACGACGTCTGGCTAATTTTTTAAGTGCTATAGGTAATATTGAGTTCCATTTGGTTGCTAATTTGAAATACTCCTGTTTCTAGGAGGCACAGAAGAAGAACTTCCAATTGCCGACCACCTCAAACCGATCCTAGAAGAATTCGAAAACCTTTTCGAGGCCTCAGAAGAAGATTTATCCAACGATCAGGAAATTAAAAAGTTTCATTTGGCTGTCTTGAACAATATATCAGCTCTTTGTAGTTTAATTCCTAGCGAAAACAATGTCTTATCCATACAGGTTTATGATTGGTTAAATCGAATGACTAATGACGAAACTATACCCCCAAAAGTAGCTGGTAATTTTATGAATTTGGTTTGCGACATTCATTTGCGTTACAAATCAGGCCTGGCTTTATTTGAAAATATTTCAACTAGTTTTTCTAATGTTTATCCTCCCTACACTGAAGAAGTAAGTAAACTATTTTCAATATACAAGGGTATTTGAAGGGAGTTTTCAGGTACCCAAGACTCAAGAAAACAATGAAACTTTAAAGATTGTTAATGTAGGCACTGCCAATTCGATTATTTTGACTTTGTGCTCTTTTAACAAGACTATAATGGATGATGCTGAAAGTGTTATCGCAAGAATCAAGTCTGATTATAGTATTTTTATTTATGCTGCAGGAGATGATTATTTGAAAAGTAATAATTTAATATTTTCAAGCATAATTACTAATTATATTATTATAGAAATTGATGATTTAAAATCAAAAGAAAAAGGTGTAACCGGTCAGTTGTGCTTCGTGGCCAGAATACTAAACAACTTGACCAGTTTAACTCTGCCAACTGGTGGCAACTTGTTAGACGCCGTCTTCAAAAATGTGGTCCAATTTTTCACCACAATGTCCTCGCTTACCAAATACTTCATAACCAAATCCAGTAAAACCAATCAACCTTTCCAAGCGGTTTGGTTTGAAAAATTAGTGAGAATCACCGGCAAACAATTGTCGCGCACTGTTAATAGTTTCATCTATCAGCTGCAACAGGATCCGGAGAATGAGGAACAATCGCAAAAGAAAAAAGTCGAATCTACTACAACGAAGAGTAAGTTTTGGCGAGAAACTAAAATTCCAAAAGTCGCTTTGGAAATGGCAACGTTTGGTAAATTCATATGGCAATTGAGCACCAAGGCTAATTACGATCTGACCAAATATGTCGGGCAAGGAATTACTAGGGATTATAGAATCAATCAGCAACAAGTTTTGGAGGAACAAGGTATATTTTATGACAATAAGGAATAAAGCTCCTTCACTTATCAATTTGTTGTAGGCAATCGTAATGAAACTCAAGAGAGCAGTGATCATGAAACTAGCAGAGACGTAATTGTGTCTGAAAATGAGGAAGTTGTGGAGACTGACGATGAAAATGCCGATCCATCTTCGCCGCCTGCAGCTAAGAAAACTAAACGTTGATTTTTTGTGGATTTTGTGGTCCCATACCAAAACATTTATCTACAATAAGATTACAGAATCTAATAACATTCATTATAAATGCATTCGATTAAAACATATAAAGTTTCTAGATTTTTTTTTATAACAGCATCTTCAATCTGTAGTCTCTAGAATCTTCCTCTGAAGGTTTTGAGAATCTGACAAGATCTGAAAATTCCGAGAATCCAGTTATAAAAGAAACCATGGAGTCAAGTTAGAATTTTATCTTCAGTAAGGAGCTAAGAATATGAGTCACAAGAACCTGTTTCTTAAATCTCAGCCAATTTCATGGTTTTCACAGTTTATCAAGTTGAACATTTGGCTCTCATATCTCCGCCCTATGAGAACAGATTCTGCTCTAATTTATAAATCCTAAAAGATTCAAGTCGCTCTGATTGCTTGAAGTATCTATTTTTCAGAAGATTTCGAAGATGATTTTGAAGGGAGAGAAACTTCGTGATTCTTTTTCTGAGCCTCAGATTCACTTCCAATCCCAGCAATTAAAAATTTTCAGGAAATCCAGACTATCCATTTGTGTTTTAGACGAAAAAAGCTAATCCAAACTAACCTGGTCCCGTAAGTCTTTGTATCTTGGTAATGGGATTATGTGAAAGAGATATCCAAAAATCAAAAATTGTAAATACAAAAGTTTTGGGGTTTTACCTGAAATTTTTGAATTCGATGTCAATTTTTTTTTTTTTGTTCTCTTAGAAATGTCAAATTTTGACAGATGGTTAGTTTTTTCTTATGGAACACCCTATATATTACTTTATAGTTGAAAAGAGTTGAATTTTCTGATTTGTAATTCATATAGAGTGTGTATTGTCTATCAGCCAAATGGAATAAATTCGTTAAGAAATAAATGGGAAAAACGCTCAGACACATCGATTTTGTTTTTTTGCTTCAGATTTATTTACACCATTTTTTTTCTACCGGGTGTTCCAAAAACAGCTGTACCGTTATCAAGTTTATTTTTTTTAGTACCCCCTGTATATTATGACATTTCTGGATTCTGCGAAAAATTGTAGACAAATATTTCATGTAGGATAATATATCTATCTTCAACTGTTTCGGAAATATTGACAGTTGAAAATTGACTTTTTCCAACTTTGACAGGCTACAAAACCTAAACGGTTAATTTTACAGCAAAACCGATTTCACATTCCTCGTCTGTAGCTGTGAAGTAACATGTTTTTATTCGGAAATAACACATTTTGTGACTCTTCTAAAATTGTCAAACATAAGTCTCGCTACGAAAAGTATCATTTTTACTCCTAAGAAAAAGATTTTTTTGTTATGGAAACTTGTATCCGCAAAATACAATAGTTTTTAACAGAATACGATAAGTTTCGAGTGCTCCGTTACGATATTTCATGTAGGCTGGGTTGGCAACACTGCATTTTACTCTTCTGACCACACGTGACCATATACCCACTATCACCTCAGAGTTTTTACACTATCAAAGTACTTTGACAAGATATGAAGGATTTCGTACAATATTCGAATTTTTGCTTCAGAAGCTAAGGGTTGAAAATAAAATCACATACAAACCTCGATACTATTACTGTCTCTACCTACTTCTCAATTATTATTCAATAGTTTAATAGGTACTGAAACGATTTAATATGGACATACAAAGTGAGTGCTAATCTCACGAAGCCAAATATACTTACTTATAAAACGAGAAAGGTCCATTACCAAATACCAGCACTTATGTGAGACAAGCTATGACGGGTCGGCCAAAAAAAGTAGACCTTTTTTTTATACTCTATTTTTTCCCAAGATAGATTTTGACAATGATAACTTTGTAACATAAACAATGCCGATTATTGGTCGCAAGATTATATGTAAAAGGATACTTCAGCTGCAGGGACGCAGCATTTTGCGACCAATCAAAGCAACGCGGTATTGTTTATGTTTCAGAGTTGACAATGTCAAAATCTATCTTGGGAAAAAATAGAGTGTAGATTAGGGGGCCCATAAGTGATCACAGGCTTAGTTTAGTCTAGTCCTAAATAAAGTGTGTGTTCATTCACGAAGTAGTTTTGCTCCCAGCCTAAATATGGTGTCAGGTGTGGGGTTGCTTGATTTACCACCCAAAAAGTGTTTCAAAGTTTGTGTCTCGATAGTTCATAAAGGCGCTAGAACTACGTACATATTGAGCTATCACAATGGAAATATTTAAGCCACCCAGTCCTTTAATCGAGTACATCAAGAATTGGACTCTGCGGAAACAGAAGCTTACAATTTACTTGAAAGCTGCAGGTAAAGAAAGTGTAGCCGAAGATGAAAAGATTGCAATATTGTTAAATTGCATAGGAGATGACGGTCTCGATATATATAATAATTTTGAGACAGATGAAACATCTACGTTAGAAAAGTGTCTTCAAGCCTACGATGCCCGTTTTCTCCCAAAGAAAATAATTCCGATAGAGGCCTTCAAGTTTAATAACCTTACCCAATCAGACGATCAGAATATTGAGCAATACTTGACTGAACTCAAAAAGCAGGCCAAATTGTGCGATTTTATTTGCAAAAAGCCAAATTGTGATACTAGTTATAAAGATCGCATGATGAGGGACCGCCTGATCATTGGAATCAAGTTAATTAGAGAGCCAAATGTTAATGTAACAGATAATTGAGTATTGTAAGTCTGTTACTTTAAGCAAGGAGCACTTGAAAACATTAATTCCAGAGAAAGGAGCTCAGAAGATTAAATGTGGAAAATAGGAAAATGCTCTTATGAACATTGGATTAACAGATATCCAGCATATAATGAAACGTGTGCTAAGTACCAAGAAAAGGGACATTTTGTCAAAGTATGTCTGAAGTAGGTACATTTTACAAGATAAGGCTATCAGCAAGGAAGCAGTATCTAGGAATGTAAGAGAACTCACAAAACAGGATGATAGTCAATATAAATAGTAGTTACGGAGGATTTATTTATTGATGAATGTACCAGTACCCAAGGAAAAGATGAAAAGTCATGGTGTGAAAACCTGAAAATTGGAGGAAAACAGATAAAATTCAAGTTTGATTCAGGTGCAGTTTTGCCTTTGCATGTTTTTAAAAAGATAAAATATTCAGGAGTATTAAAAACCTTGCAGTACAACATTAATTTCTTATGGCAGTTTTAGATTTAAACCATTTGGTCGAATAACTTTACCTTGTGAGTACAATAATGTGAATTATCTTGTTAATTTTATAGTTGTTGAACTTGATTAAAAGGGTAAATGTGGTTCAGATTCTACCAAAAAGTAAAAATGATATTTTTGAAAAGTATAGGCATATTTTTGAGGGTCTAGGTAAGATTCCAGGTCTTTTTAAAATTGAGTTGACTGAAGATGCAAATCCTGTGGTTCAGTATCAGCGCAAGGTACCTTTTTCTCTACATGAAAGGTTAAAAAAAACTCTTGATAATTTAGAAAGTAAGAATGTTATTGAAAAGACTGACTACTGGGTTAATAGCCTAATGATTGTCGAGAAAAAGGATAAATCACTGAGAATTTGTATCGATCCCAAACCCCTCAATAAATATATCCGCAGAGAGCAATTTTTAATCCCAACTTATACCGATATTTTAAGTAGAGGCCTTCATCAAAACAACTGTTTTCAGTTTTTGACATGAAGGATGGGTTTTATCATCTCCAGTTGAATGATAAAAGTACAGATTTATGCACGTTTAATTCACCCTTTGGTAGGTATCGGTTTAGAAGAGTGCCATTTGGAATATCAAATGCACCCGAGTTATTTCAAAGAAAGTAGGTACTTTAAAATATTTGGAAATATACCAGGTGTCGAAATTTATTTTGCTCACCTCATAATTAGTAGTGCTGATGAGGTGAGTCATGATAAGGCTCTTTTAAAAGTTTTTAAACGAGCTGAGGTCAATAATGTACGATTTAATTTTAATAAACTTCAGTATAAATTAGACAAAGTAATATTTATTGGTCATGAAATATCAAAGGAAGATGGTAGATTCCAAAAAAGCAGGATTTTAACTTCTTGAACTGTTTTTGTTGTACTGATCGTAGTTTTACTGTATTAACTTAATTTTGATCAAACAAACTAGGAACCTACAATTTTGAATTTCTTTCGTTTCTGAATGTGCAGTTTCCATTGCCATGGCCACAGTAACGCAATCAGAAAAATTATTCTTTGGAGCCTTTAGTTGTTTCCATTTTTCAATAAGATTTGGATTTTTCAAACCGCTAATAAATTGTTGTCGAAGGTGCACATCAACAGTAGAAGCATTACAGCTAAAACATTTGAATTCACAGTCCCTGCATAACTATTTGAGGTCAGTAATGAAAATCTGAAATACTTTCGTCTTCTCGTTGAACGCGTTTTGCAAATTTATTTTGTGATGCAATTATACTTGAAGAAGGATTTAAATGTTCTTATACACACTTAACTAATTCTTCATAGGTTTATTTATCCTTAGGATTATCAGGACTAGCCAAGTTGTAAGGTTTTTGTTTCCATTGTATGAAACAACCATTCCATTTTTTTCTATTTCAGAAGCAGATCCTATAAAATTTTTCATACTGAAGAAGTTCTCTAATCTTTTAATGTATGAATCTTAAGATTCCGTATTTTCCTAGAAAGATTCCATCGAAATACTTTTCCTGGAGGTGTTTTGAACTTTGGTTGTAGCCTGCATAATTTTTGCAGTTGCATTTAAATTAACCTATAGGTGTTTTAAGATCAAGAAGCAATTTCGGTAAGCTTTGGTACATGGTTTGGCACCCTCTGTTTGGTCTGTCACATGCATACGGATAATAGCAATTATGGTCAATTTATGGACATTGTCACCTCACCAATGAAAAAGTCCGATCAAAGATTTAAAAGAATTATAATTCCGATTGAGACAAACTGTTGTCAAAGCCTAAAACGACATTTCCAGAAACTGAAATATGCCTCAAATGGTTTTTAAAAGAAATTGCAAGCTGTTCATAGTGTTTTGAAGCTGGATAAGTAATTTTTAATTCTTAGAATGACTCAGTAAGAGAATGTTGGAGCTGTTCACTGTAACAAAAGTTTCTCGAGAAGTTGAAAACTAACTTGCATATTGTTTTCAAAGTGGTGGAAGATATAGAAGACATTTCCAGAAGCTGAACATAGTGTTCAGTGTTGTAGCAAAACGCCCCAAGTACCTACTCTATTTAAATTAGTTAGATGGTAAATGGCGAGCGCTATATTGATGGTGTTTATATACTTGGAGTTGCTATCTAAAATCTGTGGAAGAGGGTCTATTTGCAAGAGAGAGAAACAAACTAATGAGGTGTACCAAATTATATTTTATTTTACATAAAACCCAAAAAATCAGCCAAATATCTTCCAATACTTTACATCCTTCTTTATTTCTATAAAATCAATACTTCACATCAGTTCTAGATTTTTATTTTTACGGACCACTGAAATATCCCTACTAAATAAGAAACGCCCTATTCATACTATTTCTTATAAATTATAATTTAACTCATCTCACTACATCCGAATCATTCCTAATAACTATCCTACCTAATCAAATAATTCTTTAAAATCTCTAAGTCCTTTACTTCTGAAAACCCAAAATAATTACCTATTTGTTTATTAACTAATTTATTCTCATAAAATCTTACAATAACTTTTACTTGAAAAATAAAATCCCTAATTCAAAATTCATTTCATGAACAATAAATTCTTTTAACAACTTTCCCATATTCTAAGACAATTCTATTTCATGAACTTCAAGTTTCTTTTCAAAATTTTTTTATTCCCTTTAATAGTTTATTTAATCAGAACAAATTCTATTATGAGTTTCCTTTTAACAACTTTCCATTATTTTGAGACAACAATTCTATTTTATGTCATCAAGTTTCTTTTCAAAATTTCCTATTGCAGTTAATAGTTTATCAGAACAAATTCTATTTTCGGATTCCAATGCCTAGTTAATAAATTCAACTGTTTAATTCATAATTCCAACTCAAAATTGTATATTGTTAACGGCATTATAAGTACCCTTCATATTTTCTTTGCACCATTAAATTAGAATGTCATTATATCTGAAGGCAATTAAAGTTAAGCAATAATGTTCCATTTATAAATACTCGAGTTATTACTATTTAAGGCAATAAAGTTCCACTGTTAAATTAAAAGTCAGAACTTTTTCTAGTAACAATCCTCAAGTTTATAAATTCAAAAGTATTTCTAGTAAAAATCACTCAGTTTGTTTTTATGTAATGAAAGTCATTTGTTGATTCACTTCTTATCTTTCAGAATCATTGATAAAGTCAGAAAGTTCTTACTAGTCAAAATCACTCAGGTAAAATTCAAAGTTTTATCACACAAAGTCATGTTCATCATTTATATTGGAAATAAATCTTGTCATTATAGAGTACTTATATTTTGTCCATAAAACACACGTAAAATTACTTAATTAATTACTCAAAATATTTAGCTAGCACGCACATAAATTGAATACGAATTTCAAATGTTGTTTCTTACACGATTTTTCGAACTTTTACTAAGTCTATTTCGAACGCGTTTTCCCCGAGGCAGCTTCGCTAATTTTCAACCGGACAAACTCATTTGGTTTTGTAGACTTTTACTCAACTAGACTGTTAAATGGCAACTAACTTCCTTCTTCTAAAAAAACGCGCTATTTATATAAATTCGATGCTCCCAAATCTCTTTGTCCATGTCAATTAAGATGATGCAATTTCCTTGAAATTTTATATTATTTTTAGTCTAAAAATCGATTAATTATGTCGCAATACCGTGATTTATCGAGGTAAAAAACATTATTGGTTCAAGAATGCCATATATCATCAAATTAATCAACATGCTGGCCTTGCTAAGAAAAAAAGTTCATTGATTGGGTTTTAGTGATGTCACTGTCCTCGTTTTTATCAATTTTTAAGAATTTAATTTAGATGATGACTGGATGCAATACGTTAGCGTTAATTTGTTTTATTTTTAATTTATCGATACAGATTTAAAAATACCGGAATTAAATTTTAATTATTTGATAAAATTTAATTTTTACAGTAAATGACATTGTGATTTATGAGTCTATTTTCTCGGAATATTACAGTGTTCATAGTGTTTTAAAGTCCAGGGGTAATATGGAATAGCTGCGAAATTATTTTCACATATTTTCGGCATGTATTTTTTTCTCCAGGAAGTGTTTCGGATATTATGGGATATTCCTTAGATTATTTGACAGTTTATTTTCTGAACTGAAACAGTATTTTCTTCTTTAGATAGCGGGTAAAGCAGCCAAACAAGTTTATTTTTCTAAAATAATTCTTTATTACTAACCAAGCTTTCGATACTTTTTTGTATCTTCTTCAGGGCTCAAATTATATAAGTTAAAATTATAAAATTACTAAATTGTGACTTACTTGTAAATGAATTATTTAAAATAAAAACTGCATAGATAGGTAGGTATAAAATTTGTATAAGGACTATAAAGTTAGAATTGTAAAGTTTTTTTGAAAAATGTTTTGTTGTTAAAACAAAGTCTTTACCCGCTATCTAAAGAAGAAAACGTAAAAAATCCAGCCGTTATCTCCAATCCTATGAAACAGTATTGTTATAATCAAAACTGATTATAAGCTACTTATAGATCATACCCCGACCTTCTCATTTACCAAATTTCGGAGTGGAAAATGTATTATTTTTTCAGTTATTCAATGAAACGAAAATGGTATTCCATATTCCCTGAAAATACTTTCTAGTTGAATTAAGTATTTTTTATAGGTCAGTTGTTGTTATTGTTATATTTTTTTTTCTTCTCATTGTTATTATTATTATTTTTTTCTCGAGTGGGGATGTTATTGTTGTCTTTTGGATATTTATTGTATAATACAACTTAGTTTTATTGAGCTTTTATATTTGATGGAAGTTATCAATGAAAAATAATATAAACAACCACTGTAAAATAGTATATTAAGATTAGCTTGTTTTTCTTGTGACCAGTATTTTTATATATCTACTGATTTGAAAAAATTAAAACATTGTAGGTAGGTACTTTATTTATAGATAACGGAAGTAAATAATTTTCAAAAAAAAAATAATTCAATCTGATTCAAATTGGTAGACATAGATTTTGGAAAATGAGCAATTATTGTGATATAGATTTATCTGGAAATTTAACTTGCACACGAACCTTTTATCTATTCTTAGATAGTTTCTCCCTTGTGCACACTGTCGAACTTTCAGTATTGCACACGGTTCTAAAGCATTATAAATAATTATCTGGCATCGGTTAATGACCTACTATATGATGATTAAATTGAATCCCAAAGATAAGGAACTTTTGAAAACGGGAAAATGTATCTTATTGCTAAAATGATTATAGGAAAAAGTAATTTTAAATTAAGTCAATAAATTCAAAATCAATATTTTTACAAAAGAAAACTATAGTGTAAAAAGTTTTCTCAATATTGTACCAACAAAAACAAATTCTGTTGTACACGAAGTGTGATACCCTGTGCAATTCCAAACGATGCTTTTGCGCGCGGTACCACTGCGGTATACGAAACGCTATTTAACTATGGTACCCAGCGAGTACCAACCAAAAGTTGTTCTACACCGAAACGAAAACCGAAGTGAAGTGAGTTAAATTTTGACGAGTACATATTTCCGAAATAATTTTTATCAGTGAAATATGGAGATGAGCAAAGGTGAGAATTATTGTTATTGTTTTGTTGGTTGTCTAATTTATATTAAACTATATTGCAGATTTTGGAAGCTGTTGCAAAGACGCAAAATGCTGTTCAACTGAAACTTGCACTTGCAAAGACTGCAAGTGCAAAACTGATAGGAAATGCTGTAGTTGCTGTTGCTTCAATGGAAAATGCTGCCCGGAAGGTGATTGCTGTGAGGCCAATTGTACTTGCAAGGATTGCGAGTGCAAGGAAGATGCCAATTGCTGTTGCCAAAACGGCAAATGCTGTCCGGAAGGAAACTGCTGCTCCAATCAAGCCAAGACTTGTGTTTGCAAAGGCTGCAAGTGCAAAACTGATCAAGATTGTTGCAGTTGCTGTTGCATTAATGGAAATTGCTGCTCTGGAGGAGAAAAGTGCGTTTGCAAGGATTGCAAGTGTAAAAATTCCAAAGCTGATTCTTGTTGTGTTGACTTGAAAGATTGCAAAATTACCTGCAGTGTGACTTGTGTTCGCAAGGACTGCAAATGCAATCCAGATTGTTGCAAAGAAGGCAAATGCTGCCCAAAAGGAGATTGTTGCTCTGGAGGCAAAGAATGTGTTTGCAAGGATTGCAAATGCAATCCAGATTGTTGCAAAAATGGCAAATGCTGTCAAAAAGGAGATTGTCGCTCTGACGGAAGAGATTGTCTTTGTAAGGATTGCAAATGCAAAAATTCCAAAACCGATTCTTGCTGTGATGACTCAGAAGATTGTAAAATTACCTGCAATGTGAGCTGTGTTTGCAAGGACTACAAATACAAACCTAAGTGTTGCAAAGATGGCAAATGCTGTCCAAAAGGAGATTGTTACTATGAGGGAAAAGAATGCGCCTGCAAGGATTGCAAATGCAAACATTCTAAAATTGATTCTTGCAAAATTACCTGCAGCGTTACTTGCTATTGCAAATGTAATGCTAAATGTTGCAAAGAAGGAGAAAAGTGTGTTTGCAAGGATTGTTGCAACAAAGGTAAATGCTGTCCGAAAGGATATTGTTGCTCTGAAGGAAAAGAGTGCGTCTGCAAGGATTGCAAATGCAAAAATTGCAAATTCGATTCAAATGAAGAAAAGTGCTGTCTCAAACCAAAACAATGCAAATCTGGGGAAACCACTGAAGACAAAAAATGCAAAACTGGAAAGTCTTTTGCTAAGAAATCAAATTATCAATAATAATTTATCCTTTATATCAATCAATTATTTTAATCATTATTATTTATATGTGTCCTCTCGTTTTTATTCTAATCGGTGATTTCACCGATGAGTTATCTTTATTTAAATGTTTACAGCTGTATGCAACATCCTCTTTTAACTCAAAAGCGCTTTTTAAAACTGGTACCTTTAAAAATTTGTATGGTTTAGAATACACATTTTCAAAAGTGACCAGTTTTAAAAAGCGCTTTTTAAGTTAAAAGGGAATGTTGCATACAGCTGTTAGTGAATAGAAAATGACAATGACTGACATAGAATGGTGGATTCCTGAATTTCAATCTTTTCTTTATTCACTTGCAAAATTTTAATCTAAATCCTTCAAAGATTTTCCTCGAAAAAAAATAAAACGCAACGCCTCTCAATGTTGTTTTTTTGACATTGTTTTTTTCCAAAATGATATATTGACATACATTTTGCCTCAAAGTTTTGTTAATTTCAATTATAATATTTTTAATATTGGAAAAATAAACATAGGTACAAAAAACAATAAATACCTAATACAGCAAAAGTATACATTATTAAATATTAGAAAAATAAACATACAAATATTAATAACTAACAATAAATAATATAAATTATTACAGTTTCTACATAATACTTTATAGATTTTTTTACAATTCTTTATTTGGGATTGCCATACATTTCGCGTCAAAGCGAAGCTTTGATAATTTCAATTATAATATTAATATTAAAAAAATAAACATATACAAATAACAATAAATAATACAACAAGAGTATACATTATTAAATATTAGAAAAATAAACATACAAATATTAATAACTAACAATAAATAATGTATAGAGCATGAAATACTTTGTAGATTTTTTTGCAATTGTTTTGAGATTGCGTCTTGGTTCTTTAGGAGAAAAAAAAAACTCCTAATCAACTTCATCTGTATCCACGTAGCTTGATTTCCCTCTTTTATAATTCTGGAAAATAATTAAAAAATATAAGACCTTCTAGAAAATTCTCTATTAAGAGTTTTCACATCCATTTATAATAAATGGGTTCATCAGAAATTACTGACAATTTGTTAAAGATTCGAAATAATTACAGGAATATAAGATGACATTTTTACTGAGGCTCATGTATTTACTCGGATAATTTTTCAATTTTTGCTTGTCCATTGATCCAAGCTTACAAAAACAGCAAAAACCTTAGAGACAACGGCTCTTTTTGCATTGGAATTTGAGCTAGAGATGCATTTTAAGCCTGCATTTTACATTTCAAATTGAACTATAAGAAAAGAATTTCTGACCAACCTATTATTAATATTAGGAAAATAAACATACAAATATTAGTAACTAACAATCAATATTAAAAATTATTAGGTTAGATTATTAGAGTACCTATAGGTATGGAATACTTTGTAGCTTTTTTCGAATTCGTTTGGTTTTAGTGTAATATTAGAAAAATAAAAATATTTTTATAAATAATATAACAGTATAAATTCTTAGAGTAAGTATACCTACCTGATACTTTGTAGATTTTTTTGCAATTCTTTCGGGATTGCGTCTTGGTTGTGGTTCTGGCGGTGGAGGTAGCATTCTTTGCCAAATCCTCTCCCTTTTTTCATGTAAGGCTTCAATTTCTTCCGGAGAAAAATAAAGCTCCTCATCAACTTCATCTATGTCCAAGTAGCTTGATTTCCCACTTTTATAATTCTGAAAAATAATTAAAACCTTCTAGAACAGTCTCTATTAACAGTTTTTACCATTAATTTATAATGAATGAGTTCATATTTACAGAGAATTTGTTGAAGATTCAAAATAATTACAAGAACTAAAGTGGGAACAAGGGGCAAACCACCTAGGAATTCTTTGCCAAAAATGTGGGAAATTTAGAGGAATTTGTTGGGAATTTGAAGAAACTCATTGGAATTTATGAGATTTTGGGGATTGAATAGAGAATTTGGAAGAATTTGTGAGGAATTTATGAGGAATTTAAAGAAAATTGTAGGGTCATGACATCACTAAGATTCGCATTCTTATTATAAGAAATAGTAATAAATAGAAATTTTAAAAAAATCTAGTCTTGTGTTGGACGTTGGAAATTCATTTTTACTAAAGAAATCCTCCCAAAATTACACTACATGATTTACAGGTTCAAATTTAAAATATTCAAAAGAATAAGGAATACAGTTTTTGTAGGCTGATTTAAAAGATTTTTCATGTTGTAATTTTTTACTGGAAAAATTTGAAATTTTGGGAAAATGAGCTTTTCACCTTCCTCTTCACATGCAAAAAGTTTCAAAATTTTCCCTTCACTAATTTTCTAGGAAAACTTTGAAATGTATGTGAGAATGTATTTTCAATTAATTCAGTATTATTGTAGGTTGATTTTCAATATTCCTTATGTGGTTATTTTCCACTAGAAAAATTTGAAATTTTGGGAAAATGAGCTTCTCACCTTCCTCTTTACATGCAAAAAGTTTCAAAATTTTCCCTTCACTAGTTTTCCAGGAAAACTTTGAAATGTGTGAGACTGTATTTTTAATAAGTTCAGTTATTGTAGGTTGCTTTCCAAGATTCCTCATGTTGTAATTTTCTAATGGAAAAATTGGAAATTTTGGGAAAATGAGCTTCTCACCTTCCTCTTTACATGTAAATAGTTTCAAAATTTTCCCTTCACTAGTTTTCCAGCAAAACTTTGAAATGTGTGAGACTGTATTTTTAACTAACTCAGTTTTTTTAGGTTGATTTCCAAGATTTTTCATGTTGATGTTTTCTACTGGAAAAATTTGAAATTTTGACAAAATGAGCTTCTCACCTTCCTCTTTACATGCAAAAAGTTTCAAAATTTTCCCTTCACTAGTTTTCCTTTTTTTGAAATGTGTGAGAATGTATTTTCAATTAATTCAGTTAATTTAAGTTGATTTCCAATATTCCTTATGTTGTTATTTTTCACTGAAAAAATATGAAATTTTGGGAATATGAGGTTTTCACCTTTCTCTTACAAGCGAAAAGTTTCAAAATTTTCCCTTTATTAGTTTTCCGGGAAAACTTTGAAATGTGTGAGATTGTATTTTCAACTAATTCAGTTTTTTGTAGGTTGATTTCCAAGATTTTTCATGTTGCTGTTTTCCACTGGAAAAATTCGAAATTTTGAGAAAATGAGCTTCTCACCTTCCTCTTTACATGCGAAAAGTTCCAAAATTTTCCCTTCACTAGTTTTCCAGGAAAACTTTGAAATATGCGATACTGTATTTTCAAATAATTCAGTTATTGTAGGTTGATTTCCACTATTCCTCATGTTGCTGTTTTCCACTGGAAAAATTAGAAATTTTGGGAAAATGAGCTTCTCACCTTCCTCTTTACATGCAAAAAGTTTCAAAATTTTCCCTTTACTAGTTTTCTAGGAAAACTTTGAAATATGTGAGACTGTATTTCCAATTCATTCAGTATTATTGTAAGTTGATTTCCAATATTCCTTATGTGGTTATTTTCCACTGGAAAAATTTGAAATTTTGGGAAAATGAGCTTCTCACCTTCCTCTTTACATGCAAAAAGTTTTAAAATTTTCCCTTTACTAGTTTTCTAGGAAAACTTTGAAATGTGTGAGACTGTATTTTCAACTAATTCAGTTTTTGTAGGTTGATTTCCAAGATTTTTCATGTTGCTGTTTTCCACTGGAAAAATTCGAAATTTTGAGAAAATGAGCTTCTCACCTTCCTCTTATTTATATGCGAAAGGTTCCAAAATTTTCCCTTCACTAGTTTTCCAGGAAAACTTTGAAATATGCGATACTGTATTTTCAAATAATTCAGTTATTGTAGGTTGATTTCCACTATTCCTCATGTTGCTGTTTTCCACTGGAAAAATTAGAAATTTTGGGAAAATGAGCTTCTCACCTTCCTCTTTACATGCAAAAAGTTTCAAAATTTTCCCTTTACTAGTTTTCTAGGAAAACTTTGAAATATGTGAGACTGTATTTCCAATTCATTCAGTATTATTGTAAGTTGATTTCCAATATTCCTTATGTGGTTATTTTCCACTGGAAAAATTTGAAATTTTGGGAAAATGAGCTTTTCACCTTCCTCTTTACATGCAAAAAGTTTTAAAATTTTCCCTTTACTAGTTTTCTAGGAAAACTTTGAAATGTGTGAGACTGTATTTTCAACTAATTCAGTTTTTGTAGGTCGATTTCCAAGATTTTTCATGTTGCGGGTTTCCCCAGGAAAATTTTAAAATTTTGAGAAAATGAGTTTCCCACCTTCTTCTTTACATGCAAAAAGTTTCAAAATTTTCCCTTCACTAGTTTTCCAGGAAAACTTTGAAATATGTGATACTGTATTTTCAAATAATTCAATTATTGTAGGTTGGTTTCCAATATTCCTTATGTGGTTATTTTCCACTGGAAAAATTTGAAATTTTGGGAATATGAGCTTCTCACCTTCCTCTTTACATGCAAAAAGTTTTAAAATTTTCCCTTTACTAGTTTTCTAGGAAAACTTTGAAATTTGTGAGACTGTATTTTCAACTAATTCAGTTTTTGTAGGTTGATTTCCAAGATTTTTCATGTTGCGGTTTTCCCCAGGAAAATTTTAAAATTTTGGGAAAATGAGTTTCCCACCTTCTTCTTTACATGCAAAAAGTTTCAAAATTTTCCCTTCACTAGTTTTCCAGGAAAACTTTGAAATATGTGATATGTACTGTATTTTCAAATAATTCAATTATTGTAGGTTGATTTCCAATATTCCTTATGTGGTTATTTTCCACTGGAAAAATTTGAAATTTTGGGAAAATGAGCTTCTCACCTTCCTCTTTACATGCAAAAGGTTTTAAAATTTTCCCTTTACTAGTTTTCTAGGAAAACTTTGAAATGTGTGAGACTGTATTTTCAACTAATTCAGTTTTTGTAGGTTGATTTCCAAGATTTTTCATGTTGCGGGTTTCCCCAGGAAAATTTTAAAATTTTGGGAAAATGAGTTTCCCACCTTCTTCTTTACATGCAAAAAGTTTCAAAATTTTCCCTTCACTAGTTTTCCAGGAAAACTTTGAAATATGTGATACTGTATTTTCAAATAATTCAATTATTGTAGGTTGATTTCCAATATTCCTTATGTGGTTATTTTCCACTGGAAAAATTTGAAATTTTGGGAAAATGAGCTTCTCACCTTCCTCTTTACATGCAAAAAGTTTTAAAATTTTCCCTTTACTAGTTTTCTAGGAAAACTTTGAAATGTGTGAGACTGTATTTTCAACTAATTCAGTTTTTGTAGGTTGATTTCCAAGATTTTTCATGTTGCTGTTCTCCACTGGAAAATTTTGAAATTTTGTGAAAATGAGTATCTCACCTTTCTCTTTACATGCAAAAAGTTTCAAAATTTTCCCTTTTTTTAAAGGAATTTGTGGGGTATTTGGAGGAATTTGTGATGGGGTATCTGGAGGAATTTGCAGGCATTTTGAGGATTTATGCGTAAAAAATTTCTCTTTGAGAAATTGTTTGCATCAATTTTGAGATGGTGGTTTACCCCTTGAGTGGGAATTACGAAATAGAAGACATTTTTATGTTTTTACTCGAGCTCATGTATCATTTTTTTATTTTTCCTGATTTATTGATGCAGACCCAAAAAACACCAAAAGCTTCAAAGACAACGGCTCTTCTTGCATTGAAAAAAAAAGCCAAATTTTGATCATTACTGGCTCTTGATTGGACGAATAATTTTCCTGAAGCGATCCAGAACTGATGAAAGTTGAAATTTTGATTATTTTTGGCTCGATAACATTTTTGTCAATTTTTGTCTTCAGATTTACTAGATTTAAGGCTTTTCATCTAACTTCTAAAGCTTTCTAAATTCTTGAAAAATTTAAAAAGTTGACTCAAAATCCAAAGACTGAAGAACATAGAAATAAAATTAACGTTTTTCAGACTCCCAAAGAATGTTATAAGGAAGAAGCAGTTCATTTCAAATTGTAAATTATGTTTAGAGCTGCAAAAAGCGTTAACAAAGACCCTTACCAAGCCTTGTTAGTTTGATTTTAATAGGTAATCAACATTGAGGTTTTTATCATAACTTTGAACTTTGAGGCTCCACATCTCTAAAACTGTTTTAGATATAAGAGCTTGTAGAGTAATGTACTTAGAGCATTAAATTTTGATTTAGAATCATCAATAAGGCAACCAAATTTGTGAGATCTTAATTTAGCTATAAGGGATTTTATCATTTTGAATTTTTTCTAGGCTTCAAAAACTCAATAGAAGTTTTGAAAATGCTTTTCTACTAAATTTGACTTTCTGTCTCATTGAAACAGTCAAAAAATTGAGAATATTTGACAAAATCTTACAAAGAATTAGAGGAATTTTTAAGCAATCTACAATTAGGTACAGCAATTTGTTTGGGGTGTACAATTTATTATGGCGCAGTCAGTAAGATACAAACAAACTTAAACAAATTATTAATGCCCAAAAGTTGTATAAACTTAATACCTACTAGTCAAATTTTAAGAAAAATATAAGTACAAATCAATACTAAAATATTATCCAATCTGGCAAACATTTTTGAGATCTTCTTCAAAATCCAACAAAGACTTGACTGACGGCTTGTATCTCTTCACAACTTGGCCATCCTTGTCAACCAGAAACTTAACAAAATTCCACTCGATATCGGGTTTAGGGCCTGGGCATACACGATTCAAATACTCCCACAAAGGATGGGCCTTTG